TTTGATAGAATTTTTGGCTTATTACTGAGTCTTAGTACAGACTGTCTTAGTCTTTTTCATTAACTCTACAGTCTTCCCAGAATGATGCCTTTTCCCAAGGACTGATTTCTTCTGAAAACATGTCCAAAGTAAGTGAGATGAAGTTTCACCATCCTTCCCTCTAAGAAGCACCCTGGTTGTTCTTCCTCCAAGACAGAGTTGTTCCATTTTGGAGGAGTCTATGGGATAGTCTATGTGGGAGAAAAATGGGCAATCTCCTTCTATGTGATTAACTGCCTCTGAAAACCAGTAGGAGGGTCAGCTATGGGTTGGTTCTGACTCTATGGTACACAACAACAACAACAGCAATAACTATATGGGATAGTCAATACTCTTAGCCAGCAATACAATTCAGATCTTTATTCATCATTGTCCATGATCCTCAATGAAATAGATTGGCACAGTGAGTACAACAATAGGCTCGAGCATGGTGGAGATCATGAGGATGATAAAGATAGGACAGCATTTTATTTGCTGTTCATAGTGTTGCTATGAGTTGTAGTCAACTTGATCACACCTATCAAAAACAATAGTAGAGACTAAATGCCTAACTGTGGGCCATTATATCACCATGCAGCCTGACCTGCCTATTATTAAATAGGTGGTAGTGGTGTTGCTTGACCCACAGAGTCATAAATTTGGACATGTACAACATGTACATGTGCAACAGCATCCTATCATTAAAGGGAAGTAGTATCCATGAAATTGGATTTGAGCATGACTTGTAGGTACATCTAAGTTACAAGAGGAAATGCCTTAAAATGTTCATGGCCACTTTATTATTAAATGTGTATGTTTCACCTTGTCACATTACCTTCTGTTGTCTTCCAACTGGGAGGAGTTCCCTGTGATGAGCTGACTGAGTAAGAAAGGTCCTGTGCTTGGTTTACAGATATTCTCCATAATTGGATGTGGACAGCAGGAAGACTACAATCCTTTTCTGAAACTAGGAGAGTGATCATGGGAAATCCTCCCAGTGGACAGAACTTCAAGAACACTTAGTTGTTAATTTGTCTGAAAGGAGACATGCCTAGATGTTTGATTCTGTACTAATTCACAGACTTGATTGTCAGAGACTTGGAAGGAACATGATTGGAGTATTGGTGACAAGGAGTTATGGGGACGAGGTATGTTGCTAGATTTCTCTGAGTGGTCAATGAAGTGAAGATATTTGTACCTCACATACTTGTTTATGAAAGGTTGACCTTGGCAGAGGAGCATTTTTTAAAATGTATTTCTTTTTCTCTTCTTGTTGTGTACTGTCGAATTGGATCCGACTGGCACAGGAGGAGATTGCCCCGCCTTCATCAACAGAGCATCTGGTGGATTAGAACTGCACACCTTTGGGATTGCAGTACAACTTCTTTGCCACTAGGCCACCAGAGCTCCCAGAGGAGCATTTTACTAATCAGCTGCATAGATTATTGTGTCCTATGGATACCAGTTAGCCTTTCTGCCTAGCCACTCCCATCATCGCCCACTTGGCTTATGAACAAAATGGCTGTGGTGATAGAGGTGGAGGTTGTGTATAAACGCAACAATGTGGACTTCCATTTACCAAGGTCAGCTAGACTACAGCGACTGATGAATGATCAATCTATCTGCATCAAAGAGTCACCATTCACCAAGGCAATCAGGCAGCAAACTGGTTGCAGATTAATTTCATTGCACTATTTCCATTTTAAGGAACTCTGGTGGCCTAGTGGTAGGAAGCTGTGCTGCAATCCTGTAGGCACACAGTTTGAATCCACCAGCTGCTCCACAGGAGAAGGATGGGGAATCTCCTCCTGTGCAATTAACTGCCTCTGAAATCCCCCTGGAGGGTCAACTGTGAGTCAGTTCCAACTCAATGGTACATAACAGTAACAGCTTTCCTTGTGTAAAGGTCAGTGTTTTGTCTTACTGAGATAGAGCCTTACTTTGGATGCAGATTTGTCTGCGTTATGCACACTGGTTTTGCCATAGCTATGATTCATAGACTTACAGAATGCCTTAGCTACTATTACAGTATCCACAGAGCATTGACTCACTTCCCACAAAATAAAGTGTGGCAATGTGCCTGTGCTTATGCAATTCACTGGTCTTACTATGCTCCCCATGACTGAAGCAGCTAGCTTGTTAGAACAATGGGATACACTTTTAAAGACACAATTAGAGGACAATATTTTCCAGGAAGCTGTTTATGCTTTAAACCAATATCCAGTATATATAAGGGAACTCTGGTGGACAAGTGACAAGAAGCTGCGCTACAATCCCGAATGAAGGAATGCTGTTCGAGGCCACCAGCTGCTCTGCAGGAGTAGGATGGGCAATCTCCTCCTGTGCCCCTGAAAACCCACTGGAGTGTCAGCTATGGGTCCGTTCCAACTCTATGTACTGAACAATAGAAATAGAAATAGATACATAAAAATATAAAAAAATATATAAATATAAATAAATATAAATAGAAATATTTGTTGTTGTTAAGTGCCGCCAAGTCTCAGGGGACTCAAGACGACCCTATGAACGAAAGTACTGGACACTTCTTGTATAACTTTCATCCTTTCTCCAGGTTCCAGGTTCATAGGGTTTCTGGAGGCAAGCTATTATGGAAGTGGATGCCACTCCTGCTTCTAAGCTTGTTTTAATCGGCTTTTTGCAGAGGGTCAAGGACTGCAGTCTTAAACATGGATTGAAGCTCAACATCAAGAAAACAAAGATTCTCACTACTGGGCCTACTGGCAGCATCATGATCGATGAAAAGATTGAGATTGTCAACAGCTTCAGTCAGCTTGGCTCTACAATCAACACTCTTGGTACCAGCAGCCAGGAAATTAAAAGACCAATTGCATTGGGAAAGTTTGCTGTCAGATAACTCTCCAAGGTACTGAGAAGCAACGATGTCAGTCTGGAGACTAAGGTGCACTTGATACAGGCCATGGTTTTTGCAGTTCTTGCTATGTGTCAGAGAGCTGGACAATGACTAGGAATAATAGAGGGAGAGTTGATGCCTTTGAGCTTTGGTGCTGGAGAAGAGTATGGAATATACCATGGACTGCTAGGAGAACAAACAGGTTCATTCTAGAGAGGGTGAAACCAGACTGCTCCTTGGATGCAAGGATTCTGAAGCTTCGTCTGACATACTTTAGACATGTTATAAGGAGAGACTGGTCCTTGGAGAAGGACATCATGTTTAGGAGGGTGGAGGCACAGTGAAAGAGAGGAAGACCCTCAAAGAGGTGGATCAATTCAGTAACTGGGATAATGGGGGTAGGTGTGTCAGAAACAATAAGGTTGGCACAGGATAGAGCAGGGTTTAGGGCTCTTGTACATTGGGTTGCTATGAGTCACAAGCGACTCAACAACATGCCTATGGAAAATTTATAAACTATGATAAATGTTGATAGTTGTAGAGGAGTTTCAGGCCTTTTGATCGTAGGGTCGTTATGTGTCATACTCAATTCACAGGCAATCAACAATAATATAGTATATATACATATATGTGTGTATGTATGTATATGTATATAATATATATAATACACAGTATGTGTGTGTGTCTATATATAGCATGTGTGTGTGTCTATATATAGTATGTGTATGTGTATTGTATGTGTAGGTATATGTGTATATATGTGTGTGTATGCATATGTGCGTGTGTACATATATGTATGTATGTGTGTGTGTGTATATATAATATATA